AAACCATAGTGAATCAAAATGCTTCTAACTTTATCAAATATCTTATTTATTATCTATTCATGAAATATTTAATTATTTCTTACACCAAACCCAAAGAAATATACATTCCTATAGAATTTTTTTATTAATTTCTTTGAATAGGCCTTACAGATAGAATTACATTAATATTGGATCCTTATACTATTATTAACTCTACAAAATGTTACCTCATTTAAGTATATAGATAGAATAAAAGCATACAACATACTTGCACGAGAAATACCTTATATGGCCATAGTCATATATAGGGACATCGTATTTTCATAGTATATTTGCATCAACAACTCCATGCATGAAATTATATTTAATTAATTGCCATAATTAATTCAAGAGGGGGGTTTGTAGAATTACAACTTGACAAAATGTAAAACATGTGATGACAAAATGACCATAATATATACTTTTGATGGAGCTTTTCAATCAACTCTCCCCATCCACTCACTACAACTTCCATTTTTTGAAATTTGAGATGAGCTTTTTCCAAATTTGTATCTTACATAACTTTTTTAATAATCAATTTATTTTATGTTTAAGTATATTAACAATTTTAACTTCTTACATTCTTAAATATAACTTACATATTGAAATTCTAGCCAACTCATATTGCCTACAACATACGCTCTTAAATTTTATATGAATTGACTGCATGATTGGCTGCATTTTATATGCTTCAATTTTAGCTTTTAAGCATTTTATATGCTTGAATTCAAAGTTACAGGATTAAGGTGTTCATGATGTAGAAGTTGGAGGACAAGATGTGTGCAATTTATTAATGAGAAGGACGCAACCCGACACGGGTTTGAGTATCGACACGATATTTCTAGGTGTCGACAATATGAGCTATTTTCGGCATAATTTTGCATTTTCACTTGCCTACATCTTGCCAGCAAAGTGAAAGCGGGAACTACAAAATTTTTGCATTTTTCCCCTCCCATTGAAATTGATTTTATGCCTATGTGTATTGTGTACGTTGGTAAATAGGATTTTGACATGATAAACATAGGTAAGATGTTTTATATAATACCAGAACTTCATAACCCACTCATTTGTTTCTTTCTTTCCTTCTTCTTCTCTTTTTCTCCCATATCTGTCTCTTCTCTTTTCTCTTTTATCAAATGCTACTGAATTTTTTTCTTGTTTATAATTACATTATATTATTGTTATTTTTAGTTTCACTACAAGAAAAATGATTTTTAGTGATAGAAATTTGTGATGAATTTTGAAATCATCGTCATAATTTATTACAATTGTGATAGATCTAAAAAATTAGTCACAAATGCATACATATTTAATGATGAACAAAAAAATTCATCATAAAAAATATAT